CGACAGTAATGCCTGGCCCACCTTTAAGGGAGGAGGTGGAGGGAAGAGATGGGAAGCAGAGGGAAGGGAAGAAAGAGAGGAGGAACGTACCGAGAAAGAGAAACAAACAAAAGTGGGGTTAGTAGTGGTTACAGATTAGTGTGCGAAGCCTGCCTGGAAGATTGCTGGTGAAAAACTCCCGAGAGCATGGAGGTTCAGGCTGCCCCACAGAAAGTGCAAGCCCACCTGGAGAGAGGAGGGCTGGACAGGGATGGCTGCGAGCCCAGCTGGCTGCGTGCAGCCTGATGGGGCTCCCTGCTGCCTCTGGGGTGTGCTGGGCACCTCCTGCCCAGCAGTGGGGTTTCACCGACATGGCACAGGTCACAGAGGCTCAGACAGCCTGTGGTTATCCCATTCAGACCCTCCTGCCCCTGGGAAAGGCAATCTGCCTAGGCTCCATTGCAGAAGGTTCGTCTGCCGGGCTGGATGTATGCAGCCATTTTGCCTGCAGAGGCCAGGAAGGAGAGCAGGATTTGACCCGGAGTAGCGAGGTAGTGGTCACCCCCCGTAATCCCTTCACCGGCCAACATCTGCACGGTGCAGCACAGACCTTGGGAAGGAGCAGCAGGAGGCAAGGCGGCTGCTTCCCAGACCAGGGGACGGTTAGCAAGCGTACTGCTGCCTCCTGCCCCAGGCACTGCAGGCAGGACACCCTTTGGTGGACTGAGGGAGCCCAGGCACAGGGTTCAGCATTGTGGAGCCCAGCAGGCACAGCTTGTCATCCCAGAGCATCCCTGATAGAGGTAAGCGGTCTAGTAGGTGATGGGTTAGAGGTTTTTGGGGAATGAGGGCTGGGCAAAATGGAAGAGATGATACAGTGGTGGAGGCAGGAGCATCTCCTGGCTGAAGTATTAGGTCTGAGCAGTCACCAAAAGAAAGGCACAGCGGTGTTACGCAGCATTAGTTAGGGTACGGGTGAGGGAGAGAAGGAGGCAGAGGAGGAGGAGGAGAAATTGCCAGTTCCAGCTCCCCAGAGGGAGATCCCCCATTCAGTGGACAACCTGGCCCACTCCAGTTCAATGGCCCATCTCTTCCCACCCCGTGCCCTGCCATGACTACACATGGACATCCATGGTCAGGGTGTTGGAACTGTCTGTGCTCAGTAACCTCCTCCAGCTGCATCCCTCCACCTCTTCCCCCAAATTCCCCTGTCAGCGAGGGGCACTAAGGCAGCAAGGATGGGGAGTTAGGGAACAAGGTGTTGTATTCTTCCTGAAAAGTAATGTCTCTGAGTCTCCGGAAAGCCAGAAATGTGAGGAAGCCCTGTGAGGAGAGAGAGGGGTGCGGGGAGGAGAATCAGTAAGGAAGAGCAAACCAGAGCATTTGATTGAAATAAAAACCCCAAGGAACTGGAGGAAGAGGATGCCTATTTAGTCACTCGCAAGTCCCTGCATCAGGGAGGACCAGTGCAGATGGCAGCACCTCAAAAAGAGTTCTGGGGGACCCCTTGCAAAAGCCTCCCTCCTCATCACACTTTCTGCTGGAGCTTGCGAGGGGCCTTCGGCAGCACTCGAGTGCAGTACACCACTCATGGGGACATACACACGCTGCTGTGCCTTGCCCCTACTTGGTGTCACCTTGGCGACGGTGCTGACCGCACAACCCTTTGCAGCCCCCTTCCGCTCTGATAGCTTCGTGGTCTTACGGCGCCCTTCCTACCTGGCCCCCGCTCAATGTTAAGGGCTATAGGGAGAGAAGAAGATAAAGCCACAAGGACTTATGCATGGAGACTGGCCTAAAATGCTTTCCTGCTTGGCACTATCCTGTCACTTCAGACAAAAATCACTTGGGCTTGGTGCTTTAAGAGATGGGAGGAAATCGCGGAGGATATTTATATTGCACACCACAGTTTTTCCAGGAAACCAGCAATAAAGAACTTCTGGGGAAAGGGCAGCCTTAAGAGACAGCACCATCCCCTTCCTAAGAGGCGACCCAGTTAGGCGGCGCTGCAGTCCTGGGTGCAGAGGGAGATCCCAGAGGGACACCGATCGCAGCCTCTTGTGGCCACTGATGACATTTCACGTGACGAGAGCAAAGCAGGGCGGGAGATGGGTGCAACCCCCGGCCTGGAGCTCCCTTCTCTGCTTAGCATCTGTGAGGTGAAAATGCTGTTGAAGTCTTCTGACGCACAGGGAAAATGATGCTTGGGGAGCTGGCTTGTCCAAGGTCATATCAGAGGTTTGTCAAGGACACTCCTTACTGGGATATGGGACCCTCTTTCCCATTGTGCTTATTAATGCTCTAGCACCTCCTTCCATGTAAGTTTTTTGAGTCCTTGTTTCCCAAGTTTACCTCCTAACCACCTCCCCTCCTGCTTTTCCTTCTCAGAAGCCACATGAACTGACATCTCAGAGGGAATCACTCTTAGCCAGTCACCTTCCATTCTCCACAAGCTAATACAGTGCAGAGGACACTTGATGCAATATCACAGCTGCTGTACTCACCCAGGTGAAGATGGAGAAGAACGAGAACGTGATGGCTGCTCGGGCTGCATCCCCTCCCTCATTCATTGGGTTGTCCTCTTCTTTTGAAGCTTGCCACTGGTTGGTCAGAAAGCAGAAGCCAACGAACCAGAGGAATGCCCAAAAGGCTGGGATGGACCACCGCCAGCATGCCAAAGGGGAAGGGGAGAGACATCAAGAAGGTATGTGTGAACAGAACATAAACACATCACATTTCTCTGGAAGCTTCAACCCTATGAGACCCACCAGGGTGTTGCAGACTCGGCCAAACTCTGGCTGTGCAGCCTAAGCCCAAGCGAGCTGGCAGGCTCGCTGATAGCTAAATTGTCAGGGTGACGATAGGTGTCTGCAGAAGGTACCTCAGGAGAGTTCATTTGCTTGTGTTTGGATTGATCACAGGACTTGTATTTGGCCTTGGGAGGGAGCCTGAAGGTCTTCCAGTACAGGAGCAATCACCTGGGCTTTCCGAAACAGCCACTGCTTCGCAACCCTGTCCTGCAAGGACAAGCGAAGAGCAATTCCTTCCAAGGAAAGTGCAGAAGAGCGGGAAGCAGTGGGCCTGCAGTTGCACAGAGACCGGCCTTTGCTCAGGACAGCACAGGCTAAGGGACTCACACCGAGGAAAGGTGCTGAAGGATCATTAACGTGCTGCACGCCCAGGGAGAGGGGTGAAGGTAGGGGGGAGCCCTGAGTCCAGACTGGCAGCTGGTGGGGAGGAGTGGGACTCACCCTCTCTGCCAGGTGCAGCCAGATGCCCGGCAGCGAGGGAAATGGGCATTCCTAAGTGGCAGCAAAACAGGGCTCAGTCCTTCCCCTTTTCTTGTTAGCTGTACACAGGACTGCTAGGCAAGGGGCTAACCGTGAACAAACTTGCAAGCCAGAAGTCCTAAACAAGTTCAGATGCTGCACCTGATCCTGCTCTCACTCCACTCGTGGCCCCTTTGACAAACTGGGGGGGGACCCTGACGTGGAGAAGTTTGCCTGTATGGCTGGAGTAAGCCAAGAGAGTGATTCAGGATCACAGCACGAGAGCAAAGCGCCTCCTCACGCTGCTGCTGACTGGCTTTACACATGCACACACACATGCACCATCACTCTGTCTGTCACTTCAGTGCACTACTGGGGATGGAGAGATCCGACTCTTAAGTTAGAATAAGCCTCAGGGCTAGGTGAGGTCCTGCACAGCTAGTCACGTGGGGAATGCCAGGTAACCTAGGAGGACTGGTTTAGTCAGCCTGCATGAAATCCTCAATGTTTTTTTATGTTAAAATATATGGGATTCAATCACCTGGAGCTGGAAAAGAAGGAAGTACCATCTCCAGAGGCATCAACACTTGGCCTTAGCAAGCACAAGCATGCAGAGAGGCAAGACCTGCTGAGCCTAAAGGGCTCCCTGAGAGCCTGTGTTCTCCTATGCAGAACAGCAGAGAGGCTTCAGCCAGATTGGCTGAGAAAAAGAGAAAGGGAAAGAAAAGGAGAGAGAGAGAAGGCCTGAGAGAGTAGAGAACCCAAAGACCTCCCTGCTATCACAAACCCGGCCTGCGAGGCAGCAGAAGCTCCCTCCCTCTCCCTTGCCGGCAGAGGAGAGGGGCATTATAGCCAACCGGCCAGGAAGCTCACCTGAGACTCCGATGTCCGAGAGCACTGCCTTTTTGCGGTCCTTGACGCTGCTGATCTGCGGGAAGTAGGCATCCAGAGCCAGGTAAAGAAGGCAGCTGAGGAAGGCGAGGACACCCACGGTAATGCCATAGTTGCAGGCATTGCGATTGCGGTTGAAAATGCAGTGCTCTTGTGTCTCGTCCAGGCGGTTCACGTACCCTTCATTGACAATGGAGCCGAACACCACGATGGAGAACACCTGGTGGGGAGGGAGGCAGGAGACAACGTCAGGGCAAGCCCCATCTCTATGGACCAGCACAAAGGAGCTGAGCTTTGCGCAGGACAGCTGGCCTTCACAGGCACCTCTCTGCTCTGCTGAGCTGCCATCCCACTGCCTTGCCTGGGCTGTAGCCACGGGGAATTTACCAGGGAGACAGTCTCATTTTGTTTCTGAGGATTAACTTAAAATAGGACACTTTTAGATTGAGCCTTTTTACCCATCTGATCTAAAGTGATGTAAAGCAGTTGCAGTCTGGAGTAAGGGTGGCTTCCCACAGACACACAGGGAGGCGACGTGAAGTGTAAATTGGGATATGGTTTTGGTGTGGGTGCCTGCATACAAGGGCTCCAAATAGCGGAAATCCTCTTAGTCTGCACTTATTCTCCCACGCACTCCTTTCCCTTCTAGGAATTAATTGTTTCTACAACGCATTTGTTCATTAATTTTATCTATCCAGCTACTACACTCTTTTCCCCATCCACACTCCCACAGTTCACAGCTCTGCGGCTCCACTCTGCTGTGCTCCCGCTCTCCTCATCTCCCTACACATCACACACCTCTCTCCACCATTCTTCCATCAGCCCAGCCCATGACACCACCTATCCTTCTGCCCACTCACCCGTACGCCAGCACCCTCCAACCTTCCCCAAGGATTTCATGGGCCAGACATTCCCCCTCCAGGTGTGGACCTGGCAGGGCCACCATGAGTCTTCCCTACCTGTCACCGCCACTGCCGCTGCATGTTATTTTAAATCAGGTAGAATTAAGGATGAGTCCAGGTAGAAATGCCATAATCCACAGTTGCCAGTCTAATCTTTGCTCACAGACTTAGCCTTCGTCACCTGCCACAAGGCCGTCCCTCTTTGACACAGCAAGCTCACCAAAGCGGAGAGCTATTTACAGCAGCGCCAGTCCTGCATCTCAAATAAACAGCTTCCCCTCGCAGCCACGGGAGAAAGAGGGGAAGATTAAGACGGCACATACAGATCTTTCTTTGCAGGGCATCTTGAGACCCTTGGTAGGAACTGCTCACCTGCAGGCTGCCTGCGAGGGCCCCAGGCAGACGGGAAATGGGACCTCAAGCATGGTGTGAACATACATATGACGTGCACTAGGGCGTCATCGGAGCACTCTGCTGGCCTGGGAGTTGTCTGTGCAACAGGAGCTTGGCACCCTTGGAACCACTGCCCAGTCTCCAAGGAGAAGCAGCACACAAGAAGGTGAGTTGGCCAAGTCTCCTGCAGGGAGTGGAGGTAGGTCTGAGGGTTTGCTAGGTCAGAAGGACCCCAGTACCACTTAACCCAACCAAGCACTGTGAGAGCACACGGCAGACAACTTAGAAAGTGGAGAAGCAGCTTTGTGAGTGCAGGGAAAACTAACTGCTGATTAATACCAACCTGATACACCATCTATCATCAGTGGGGTTGGGTGCCTGAGATCCACAGCACAGACCTCTGCTGTTTGACATCAGAGGTCTGTGGCATCAAGAACCAGAAGAAAAACCTTACTCATGGTCCCCGACAGCCCTTGGTCAGATATTCAACACTGACCACATTTCAGCTGCCAAACTCTAACAAGTATCCACTGACATCGATAATATTTTTTCACTCCAAGGCTCATAATTGGGTCACACTTGGGTTGCTGACATTGGGCATATTTTTGACACACTAGAGCAAACTAAAAAAGCTGGAAGCTGGCGCTCCTAAGCGTGGGGACTGTATGGGTTCTCTGAAAGTTCACAAGAGCTTTTTAAGCTTGGAAGTAAAACAACTGATTTCTACTTCTCCTTCTTCTTCTTGAAAAATAGAGATTGATCATACTTTGCAGAAATTACCCATGAAAAACAAAATCAAATAAAAATCTCTTCTGCCTGAAGCAAAGGTTTGGTCTTCAAAATTTCAGCCTGCATGGTTGGGAAAGGCAGCAAAATTGCACGTAATTATAGCCAGGCTCTTTCAGTGGGAAGTTTTGCACACCTTCACAACATGCTGGGCTGACAGGTCTGCCTAGGACCATCGACAGTAACACCATGCTCCTCTAACCTCAGAGGCAGCTGACAAACTCCTTGAAGTGACGTCCTGATGTGAGGCTGTGACCAGCACCAATGCTGCCACCTGAAATACCAACCTCCTTATATTGGGATTATGAAGTGGGTGCCCTGTTTTCCACAGCATTAGACAAAAAGCATAACTTCTCTTTGGAAGATGAGAAACAGCCTCAAAAGCGGCATAGCCTGGTGTTCACTTTTGGTTTAGGGCTCAAAACTGGTAAAATGTCAATTTCCTGAGCCAGGTCAACCCTTGCAACGAGCTGTATTGCGAGTCTCTGCTTACTCATTTGGGATGAATGAACTTCTGTAATGGCCTCTCCCCAGAGACACCTCTGTTTACTCTGCTCATATCCTGATACACATCTTCCATCTGCTCTTATCTTTGGGTTTGCTGCTGGCCTGTAAGGGCTCTCATCTGTGAGTGAAGAAGCAGAATCATTCCTTTTTGCATTTGCCCCTTTATATCTATGTTGGCCCTTTGTGAAGACACTGCTCAGAGTCAAGAGACCAGAGAGACATCTCCCTCTCCCTAAAATTTAAGCAGAGGTGGCATTCCTAACTTCCTTTCTCCACCTTCGGTCAGCCAAGATGCCACAACTTCTCACCTACGAAGAGAAACCTGTTTTACAGCCTGGAGGTGTCCAAGGTATGATTTACTGGCAAGCATCTGATCTTAGGAGTTTTCTGGGGAGATTCCACTCAAGGTATTCTCACTCGTGAGCAGAACAGGTCACTGCAGATGCTTATCTTCTGTGTCCTGAAACAGCCAACTCAAAGTAGTCTTTGTCCTTAAGAAAGCCTTCTACAGACCAAAGCACAATAGCTTAAGGGACATCTCCTTCTATCCATGTTTTCCTCACTACTGGTATCAGCTCTGGTCCATGCTCCGCTCCCTGGTGCTGCAGAGAGGACAAGGTTAGTGGCAGTGGAGAGGGTTTGCTCCCTTTGCCAGCCTACCACCGCCCTCGTAGCACAGCAAAATGCTGTGAGGATCCACTGTGCACAGAAGCCTTGAGCTGGACTGGATAACAGAGACTGAGAAAGAATGGACAGGCTCAAACCAGAGGTTTCAGACCAACCGGCAGAGCTGGGCAGCAGGAGAAGAGGCAATCGCTGCTGCTGCCGACAGGCAGCGTCACCCGTTTTATCCCAGTGATGTCTGTACCCAGAAGCTGTTGTGACAGGTGCACAGACAAACAGTTTTCTAGAAAAAAATTATGAGAGCCCAGATCTCACAGCCCTCGGGAGAAACTGTTGCACACTTAATCCATGGCAGCTACTTCTTGTTGGTAAGGGGGCGGGTGAGTGGAAGCTCACTGACGTAGCAAGTCATCTTAGAAAGAGCAAATATTTTTTATTTCCTTGATTTCACAATCCATGCCCGTGCAAAGATGATCCAGACAGCAGGTGCAGTATGAATGCTGCCTGGATTATAACAAAGCACCAAGTCTGCAAGGAGGAAGCATTTACATTCCTGTTCCCATCACATCTGCAGCACTTCTGAAGAAATGCCAGCTACCAGCAGCAGTGGTGCAAGCCTCTTGCCCCTCTGTGTTACCATGGCTTCTACCCGTTTGGCATAGTGAATCCTCGCTGCACAAGGTCTCGCCTACAGCCACTAATAAAATAGTCCAAAATACGCATCCAGCTGCGAAGAGAAGGTGAGGAGAAGATGGCAGAAGTCTTCTCCTGACTGAGCACCGAGACGCGGGGAAGTGACTTGTCCAAAGGCAGACAGAAGGTGGGCGCAAAGCACTGCACCCCGATGCTCCCAAACACAGCCCATCCTTCTGCTCCACGGAGGGAGATCACTAGCTGCTTTCCTACGCTCGACGATGAAAACCAGCCAGCCATCCCCAGCTTTCTGCACCTCAGTGGCCTCATTTCTTCAGCAAGGCTGTTTAAGTCAGTTAACAGGACTTGAAGTAACTAGATTTTTAGGTTGAGAGGGTTTCCTTAAGCCTGCAAGAGCAACGTTAATTGGGCAGGCGTGCAGTCTGTCTGGAGGTGCACATTTAATAAGCAGTAATATATTCGGCTATGCTCAAAAAAAGGGACAGAAAACAGCACATGGAGAAGATCTGACCAACTCAGTGTTGCTACTGGGACCTGGCTTTTCTTGACTTCACCCCTCCTTAAACATTGCATCCACACAGGTTGTTGCAATGATTTTCCTAGACTTCTGTTTTCATCAAAGAGCTCTGAGACACCAAGTGAAGCCCAGAGCCAAGCACTTAGCAAAGCTGACACAGATAGAGCAACTTGCCAAAAGATGTAGCAAAACGAACATAATGCTAAGCACTGCAGGGAGGAGACAGGGAGAGGCCGAGAGTTTCCCTGTCCCAGTTTCTCAAGGGGCTCATACTGGCCATTCCAGGCGTGTAAGGGCTCACCACAGCAAGAAAAGTGCAGAACAGACAAAAGGCTGCATCCCACCATATAAAAGACCTTTTTTTCTTTTTCTCTCACTGATCTGGGTGATCTGATTTTGCCACAGGCAAAGGTGAGAGATGAGCCCTCAGAGAGGCTCTCCAGTCCCTCCTCACCTCCCTGCTGAAGGCTCAGCCCCGCAGAAAGCCAGGCAAAACCTCCTGAGCATCATGTGAGGCTTTCCACCACGTTGCCCATCCCCAGCTGTGCATCAGATGCTCCTGAGCATCATGTGATGGATGCATAGCACGGCCAGCCTCCGGCAGTGCACTAGGATTTTCCTGCACCTCATCCCAGGAGTTTGTAACGCTACCTCCTGACTTCATCCCCGAGATCCCTACGATGGTCATAGCGGGGATGAGGCCGAAGTGGGTTTCTGTTGAGCTGCCTGCTTGGGCTCGCTGCGATGCTCTCCGGTCACAGGCTCTGTCGCACTGCGTGTTGCCCCTCCCTCTCCCAGACCCTCTCTTTATTCTATTATAGAGAGGAAACAGTTTGGTGACATAATATTTCTCATGGGACTTCAAACCAAATCCACTCTGGGCAGAATGAAGCAATAACCTTTTCTGTGGCTGATCTGGTAATGACCAGGAATAAATCTGTTTAAAAAGAAAGCAAGAGCAGGGGAGAACGCAAACGATAAACTGGCAGAGATGATCTGGCTTTCATTTTCATTCAGCCACTCGCAAATGGAGTCTCTGGAAAGCTTTGGAGAGCCCTGCACAGACATGGATTATTATTATTATTATAATCATTAATTCTACTTGTATTTAGTTCATTTTGAAGAAAACATATGCAGCTTTTGATACGCATGGGACTGGCAGCTTGGAAACAGGCGGCCTCTATTTATTCCCTCCAGCCAGCACCCCCACGCAGGCAGCAAACGACTCCTGCCCACGGTCTGGATGGTGTGTCTGAGCCCTGTGCCGGTGCTGGAGGGGGCCAGCCTCCCCGTACCCGATTCCCCTGAGCATGGGATGGGGGAAGAGCACGGGTATGCCAGCACCTCCCTCCCAGCTCACCCTCCCTGGCCAGCAGCCACGTGGCACCAGCTCCCCAGCCAGGGCTGAGCCGGAGCAGGTGATGGAGGGGAGAAAGGCTCGGCATCCCTAATTCCTGCCACGGGATCTGGGACTGGCTTTCCAGGCCAGCCCAGTTTTTTTCACACATGGCTTGGCAGCTGACAGGCTGGCCATTAACCCTTCCGCCTCCCACCAGACCTGTGCCTGGGTCAATCTTCCCCTCCACAGCAGCCCAAGCCCCGGATGATGCTGGGGCACCACGGGAGCCAGCAGCTGGGAAGCCTCCGACGACAGCCAGGCCCAGGCTGAGCAGCCATGCCTGCCACCCTGGGCAGGGAGGAACAGCTTTGCAGTGGGAAGATGCCCACTGGTGCAACGGGAGGCTGTGTCCCAGAGAGCAACTTCAGGAAGCTCCGTCCAGTCCCGCAGGTCTCATGCTCTTCTCATGGTCAAACAGCTTCTTCTCTCCCACCGCTACTAGTGACAGCTCCCCATGGCCACACCTCCATGGTGGTATCCAGGTCCTTCTGTGCTTTCCAGATGGTCCCTACATCAGGTTGCCACTCAGCGAAGTGAACACCCAAAAGTCGCATCTTTTTCCATGAGGAAGAGTTCGGTTTCCCTTCTAGTGACACATCTCTCCCTCCTTGGCTTGGCTGTGCCAACCTAGGTGGAGGACCACATCCACTGGCACCTGCATCTGCTCCTCTCACAGCCACACTAGTCCTCTCTCCTGCCTTGTCTTGCCACAAATGTTTGCCTTAGCCACGTCTCATCTCCATGCAGTTTCTCTGCTCCTCACCTGTATCCCTCTCATGTTTTGAAATAGCAGATTACATACAATTATCTTATTTTTTTTCTCACATTTCTGACTGCCTTTGGTCCCTACGTGCTATTTCTCAGATTT